TGTCTAAATGTACTGCTCCAGCCACCTTTGAATGATCTGCAGCAGTATTTTGCTAGCATATGATATCAATGATATTGTTTGATAATTTCCACATTCAGTTGGATCACCCTTCTTGGGAATAGGACCTCTTCAAATCCATTGGACAGCTGTCCTCTAAATTTTCTGGCATTGACCAGTGAGTGCATCCAGCTGCATCTGTCAATTGAAACAAGTCAATTGATATCCCATCGATTCCTGGGGCCTTATTTTTTGCCAATGCCTTCAATGCATCCGTGGGGAATCAAACCCTGGTCTTCTACATAGCAGCTGAGAAATCTACCACTAAACCACTACTGCCCCCAGTGAATAGTATACAGTTATAGACATTGCAATGTGACACCATTCCTTTTCAATTTGTTGTTCCTGAGATGGTAAATTATAATTGACTTATTCAAATACTCCACATCAGCACATTTCAGCTCATGAGTGCCTAGCCTGGAAATCTTTATAGATTTCATTTTCATTCTGATGGCTTGCACTAAGATGTTTACTTTGTACACTGGATATGTCCTTCATATCATGTCAGTTGGGTTATTTATTAATGGTTATTTGCAAATATTTCTTTTTATTTTGAGCTGTTGTTCTCGAGTACCATCAAGTCAGAACAAACCCATAGCTGACCCCTCAGTGGGTTTTCAGAGGCGGTATATCTCACAGGAGGATATTGCGGCTCGTCCTTCTCCTGTGGAGGAGCTGGTAGATTAGAACTATGTGCCTGTGGAATTGCAGTGCAGTTTCTTACCACGAGGCCACCACAGCTGAGTAGTACCAGAAAGATTTACTCCAACCACATCTTTGAAATCAACTCAATTTTTAATGTCTTCCAACCAGCAAATCTAATACAAGTTATTAACTAGTAGATAGAAAATGCAGATGTTGAAATACAGACAATATTTATATATATACTATTTTCAATTTTATTTTCACATATATATAAATATATATATACTTCAAAATATGAAATACAATTTTAGGCTTTGAAGACCCTATTTTGGGAGATAATTTTTATTCTAAGAAAAAGACAATCTTTTAGGAAATAAAAGGCTGGAAGAGGGAAACTAGACTGGTTTGTATTCAGGGAACACTGAGTTCTCCCCACTTAGTAAGCCATGCCCACAAGCGCAGTAACTGTCCTTCCTGTTCACCAGTGTTCACAGATAGCAAGTAGTATCTTTATATAGGAGGCAGTCAAATGTGTGTTTAATGGTTGAATGAGTGAAAATCCAAGCTTTTATCACTGTAAAAAAATTCTACAAATGACTATGAAACAGCAACAAAAAAACAAAACAAAACAAAAACAAAAACAACAAAAAATGTGGAAATAAGAGATACTGAATAGCACAATGAGTCTTTGTTATTGAATGCACAGAATAAATTATGTCCTTTACCAGATCCTCTGTACAGAAGAATTTAATGAAATAGCATTTGAACAAGAGACTATGGTGATGGAGGCAGAAGTTCAAGCTGCTTTGAAGGAAACAGCGAAAAATAAGGCCCCCGGAATAGATGGTATACCAATTGACATATTTCAGCTAACAGATG